CACAGCCCCTCTCAGCCTCTCACAGCCCCTCACAGCCTCTCACAGCCCCTCCCAGCCCCTCACAGCCCCCCCCCCCCCAGCCCCTCAGAGCCTCTCACAGCCCCTCACAGCCCCTCTCAGCCTCTCACAGCCCCTCACATCCCCTCACAGCCCCTCACAGCCCCTCACAGCCTCTCACAGCCCCTCTCAGCCCCTCACATCCCGGAGCCGGCAGGGGGACCTCGCACCTCAGCCCGCGGTGCCGGCGCCGCAGCGTCGGTTTTTAAGGAATAAAATCGATGTGTAATTCAAGTGAAATTGATGTGGAACCCAAAGGGTCCCGTGATGTCAGTTCAAGCCGCGCTCCCTGCCTCAGGCAGTCTGAGGGAAAGGGGCGGGGGACGTGGGCAGCCAGGCCTACTCGGGGTCTGTGGGGGCTACTGAGGGGAAAAAGGAAGAGAAAGACAAAGATCCAAGCCCAATGCCCTGACTGGGGACCGTCATCACCAGACATAACTATGTTTTCCCTCTGCGGTGTACAGCCACTGCAGGTGTTTGTGCTGGGCTTTAGAGTGGGCAGATACAGTCAGAACCCTGAAATTCCTCTGGTGATGGGTGTCTGGGATGTGATACCCTTGGATCCAGACTTCCACTCACTCTTTGCCAGTGAGAGGAAGCTTAGGAGTGGTAAAACTGATACGAGAAGATAAGTAAGTGCTACGGTTACTAACTCTGTGTTCTGGGATCAAACGGCCGCTTTGCATCTCTTTAGGGGAAGCTGGGGTTTGATGTTTCAGTGAGTTATGCTGATCAAGTGTTTTTGTATTTTCATTGATAAAACCTTCTATGTTCCTGTAAGAGTTGTTTTTATACACTTTCTGCTCTGGCTGCATACATAATATTGAGGGACTTAACCACTGACCCAATTAAAAAAAACACCTTCTTAAAAGTCTAATTGAATTTCTATAAAGGCTTAGGTCTGCAAAATAGTTTTCACTCCTGAGCACTTTTAGCCTGCTTTCCCATGATTTCAAAGTTCTTAAGCAATAGCTTTGCCTTTTAAGTATAAATTCTAAGTCTGATTAAATTAAAGCAGAAGACGGAATAAGTTGTTACTGAGGAGTTCATTATTTTAAATCATCTTTTCCAATACAGCTGGAAAAAGATGACTGGCCATGTGAGCTGTTGTTATCCCTCAGTATAATTCTGGCAGTTTTCAGCCAATCCAATCCAATCCAATCCAATCCAATCCAATCCAATCCAATCCAATCCAATCCAATTCAATCCAATCCAATCCAATCCAGCCTCGGCTGTGTCAGTCTCCAAACAGTAACTGGACAGCGGATCTTGCACAGTATCTCAGGCACAGAAAGAAAAATCGCTGAAGAAAGAAGATCTCGCAGTTTTAAGATCCTTTGCTTCTGGATGTCTGATCTACTGGGAAAGGCTTCTGCCTTGCTCACAATATGCTCTGTTGCCATGGGCAACTTGAGAAATAGAAGCTGTGGTTACTCATAATTCTTTCAAGAAACTATCTAGTGATAAAGGAATAGGATAGCGAGCATATTTTTTTTTCCCCTTGGCTTTGTCTTGGCTTTTCTTTCCACATAGAATCTCTTGCTAGGTGTCATAATTTGTTTTTCCCCCTCATATTTTGTTAAATGAATCCCTTTCTATTCTACAGTACAAATGTATTATATGCTGGATCTTTAATATACATTCAAGAAACCTCATTATTCTGACTCTTTCAACACAACTTCTTTGTCTCCTTTCCATGCAGCAGCACATGCTGACAGATGACAAGTTGGAAAGCAGCTTTGCAGAAATAGTCCTGGTGGACACCAATCTGGACATAAGTGACAAAGAAAGCTAATGGTATCCTGGACTGGGTTAGGAGGGGTGTTCTTCCCCCACTCAGCACTGGTGAGGCCACACCTGTAGTGCTGTGTCCACTTTTGGGCTCCCCAGTAAGAGTCACTTAGTAGGAAGGATCTGTCACATCTTCCTTCTTTAATCAGTCATTTCAAGCGTTGGAATACTGGAAAGATTCATCAGGTACTTTTCCCATTTTCTTCATCACCTGAATAGGTCAAACTCCATAAACTCCACATTATAAACATGCTTTCTAGAGACTTAATAATATTTTTTTTTACTTCTTCTCCAATTCTAATATTTTAACATTCTAAAAAATATGACTTATGTTTCTGGATATGGTAGTGCATTTAACAGTGCAAGGTAAAAAAGTAAGATCTCTCCATTCCTTCTGTGTCATAATCCCATTTAAAAACCTGTACAAGTTAAATCAAAAGCATGGTTCAGAAGAGGGCAGGCAATATACATGGTGCACCAGCTGTGCATATAGGTATGTAACTGCAATCTGAGCTACTCTCAACTCATTGTTCCATTTTTTCCTAGGTCTGTGCCCTTCTGAAATAATAAGCATTGCTTATTAGAAGCATGTGGCTGGCCATAATTTTTTATTATAATGAGGCTATTTTTGGTTTTGTTTTTTGTTTTTTGTTTTGTTTTACGATACTGACAAAAGATATGCTGGTCTCAATATCAAGAACACACCAAGTTGAGGATAATTTGAGTTTGCATATCTGCCATAAATTTGACAAGTATGTGAGGAGGTATGACAAACTAATGTCTGTAAGAATATACTGAATTTCTGGACCTCTGTGCAGAATATTTGCTGGGCAAGCCTTACCCAGCTTTCCTGGAGTCTGTGAAGCAGCTCTGCAGTTGATGCATTTGCACTTCCTGTTGCAATCCAGCCTCGTGTATCACTCATCCCCTTCGACTTTCTTCAATCCTCATCCATTTCTCAACTTTCACCAGCTTTCCTGTATAATTGTAGGTTTTTTCTTGAAAACCTTCTGGCAGTCCATCCTGAAATCAGAAGACATGTTGCTTAAATCCTTCCCTGTCCCAGCATTATGGTCCTCCTAGTGTAGAAGATTGAAAACCAAGGAGAGATCAGTTATAAATTATGATAGCCTGGCATTCCAGTGTAAAAAGCAACATTATATATATATATATATATATATATCTATATATATATATATCTATATATATATCTTTGTTTTTGCCTTCTGAGTTTGGAAACAAGGAAGAAAGATAATTTGAAACCAAAACATAGATAGATTTCTTTAATAGAATTACTGTATTTTTGTGGTTGAGTGTAACCTTCGGTAGCAAACAATTCACCTGAAAGAGGAAAAAGTGCCCTAAGGCATACTTGTCATGGGTTACTTCTACAGAAGTAACTGTAGAATATTCTGGAAATGCAGCACTCCACTGTTCTATCACTTGTTAAACACAGGGGAATATTGCTTGTTGCAGTAGCACTGGCTGGCATGAAGGAATTTTCAGTAAAACTAATTGACTTTCCTCTTCACTAATGACCTGTATGCTGGGAGCAAGTGTACACTCACCAAGTTTAAAGATAATAAAGGACTTGGAGGAGAGGACCCCAGACAGTTGTGTGGCCATCCAGAGGGATCTCAAGAGGCTGGGGAGATGGGCAGAGGAAATCTAAGGAAATCTAAAGTCCTGCACCCTGGTAGGAATAGCCCCCAAAATGCACAGGTACAGGCTGGGGCAATCCATCCGGAAAGCAGCTGTGCCGAAAAGGACAGGGATGGCCTAGTGGACAAGCTGAAGATGAGGCAGCAGTGCACCCTCGTGGCAAAGGCGGCCAACAGTGCCTGGGCTGCATCAGGGAAAGTGCTGCCAGCAGGCTGAGGCATGTGGTCCTGCCCCTCTAATCAGCACTGGTGAGGCACCATCTGGAGTCCTGTGTCCAGTTCTGGGCTTCCAAGTATGTGAGAGACATGGACATACTGGAGAGAGTCCAGTGAAGGACTACAAGGATGATTAAACCACTGGAGCATCTCTTGTCTGGGCACAGGCTGAGTACACTGAGGCTGCTCAGCCTGGAGAAAAGAAGCCTCAGAGAGATCTCATGAGTGTGTATAAATGCCCAAAGGGAGGATGCAAAAGAGACTGAGCCAGACTCTTTTCAGTGGTGCCCAGACAGGCTCAAAGGCAATAGGCACAAATTGAAACATGGGAGGTTCTCTCTGAACACCTTTCAGAAGGAAATCCTTTTTACTGTGAAGGATGACTGAGCCCTGAACCAGGTTGTCCAGATGTACAGTGGAGTCTCCCTCCTTGGAGGTATTCACAAACTGTCTGGACATAGACCCAGGCAACTTGCTTCAGGTGATCTTGCTAAAGCAGGAGGGTTGAGTTGGACACACTCCCTAGATCCATTCCAATCTCAGTTTAGTCCTGGTTAATCAGTGAACTTGAAGCAATCTATCACAACTCCAAGTCTGATAACAGAATTTTACATTAGGACATTGGATGTGAATTTGATGCATTTCTTTGTTTTCTGAAATTCATAATGTTCTGCCTTAAAATAAAGGAATGGTGGTTTTGACTGAAGCTGCTGCATGCTGTGGTATGTAGTGGATGTACACTCTTTCATGTGCTTGCCACATTGATGGAGTCACTAACTGCCTGAAAGCTGCCAAAGAAAGAAATGAAGTGTGTGAGGCGATAGCCTGGAAATTGGAATGCATTTGTACTGAGGACAAAAACACCAGCACATCAGCCATGCTTTTCCTGTGCCTTGCTACTGTGTTCATTACACCTGCTAGTGCAGAGGATTAATGTTTCAATATACAGAGACAAATTAAGATTTTCCCTGAAGCCCATCTGCTCTTTTTCCCTTAAATCTTTACCTGCAGGAAGGAATTAGACTTGATTTAAGGGAAAGAATAGACGAGGTAGAGAAATTGAGCAGTTAATAGTAGGAGGTTGGCAGCCTAAAGTAGAGGGATGGCAAGGGAGAAAACAAACTACTTCACCAATTAGGAACACATTAAGGATGGAAGGGAGTTTTCAAAGGATAAACCTCACCCACCATGTTGCCTTTTCCACTAGTTACAGCTGCTGATGTACATATCATATATACATATGTATGAATGAACATATGAAACCATTCTCAGTCATTGCAGCAATACCTTTTTTATTAATTTGATTCCAAGATGTAATTCTGGAAATGCTTCCTCTCTGAGAATACCAAATGTTGGTATCCCCTAACACCATGCTTTAATGGAAGGAGAATAAAACCAGCAACACAGAAAAAGACATATGTTTTAATCCACCATTAAATAAGTTTACTATAAAGTATAAACTTCTACAAATATTTTAAACCTTTACCTTCTAATAACATTTGAATGATATAAATCTGAATGAAAATATCTGGAATGTTAGTGTAATAGCTTAAACTGACTCCCAAATAGTTTCACTAACTCAAAAGGATATGCATTTCCCTCACACACTTGAAAATGGAGTAAAAATTGAGGTGGAATGTAGCAACTCACATCATTTAACAGAAAAGAATATTTCTACCCAACAACTGTAAAGAAGTTATGCCCCCAGACTGCAACTCTGAGCTGAAATTTGTCTTAAGAATATGATGCTAATGTCCCTGCTCTTTCTGAAAGTGTCAGACCTACAAACACAATCAAGATCTCAGAAGAATTTTGTCTCAGTTCTGCTGCATTCTTCCTCCGGAAAGATGTCAGTGCTGTTGAAGAATATAAAGTGCAGAGATCATTCAAGATTGGAGAACTGACACATTTTGAGCACAACAAAGGATCTTTTCTGAAGGATAAAACTCCTTCATATGGCTGAACATACCACAGTGTATGAATTCCTCTATCATCAAGGTCTGAAGTAAAATTAAGAAAGGGAAAACATAGTCAATCAAAAAGGAACATGACTTATGTAATATTTTTTCATTATCTGCTCAGCCTAATTTTGTATGGTTAGATATACACACTTATGATACCTCATGCTATCATTTTCTATCCCTGCATCCATCTGAAGAACTCTTACAACTCTCAGTCAGAATACAGGGGAACAAAGCGTGGAGGTACTAACTGTCTGGGTATACTGAGCTTGGATGATATTAAAAAAAATGAAGTTAATCAAAAATTATGTTTAAAGCAAGTATTTCCTTTAGATTATTTCTAGTTTCAAATGCTTGATAGGAATCCACGACCTTTCTCAGAAAGCGTGGATGCGCCCTGAAGTTCTTCTTCCTGATGCTTTACAAGAAAGCTACTGGTACAAAGCCACAGTGGCTCTGCCAAAAGCATTTGTGGCTCATGGTTAGGCAGGAGGCTTGAAACTAAATGACCTTCAAGGTCCCTTCCAACCAAAGTCATTCTACTATTCTATGGTTCTATGATTCTATGATTTATGGGTAATAGCTTACCTCTGATTGTGTTTGCAGTGATGTTTATGATTCACAGATTATCGCTTAACTCTTTCTATTTCTGAGACATTTTGTGACCCATGCAACTCTGCTTTCTCCATTGACTCTCAGGATTTTACATTGTCACAGTGCATAATAAAAGAACAACAAAAAGGTAGTCATGCAGACAGGCAGAGCATCATATTTACTACAATTTACTACCATTCTGGAGCAACAATAAAAGCAGAGAACACTGGGCAGTAGGTTTCAGCCATCAAACAAATGTGTTGCATGTTGTTCTGTAGGGCTTCTGGAGAGGATTCTTGTTCTGGCAGAACCTCTAAAAACACAGGACTTCATGCTTTGCTGGGTGCAGACATAGTTCCCAGTGAGCAGCCTGGCTGATGGCTTCAGTTTCAAGCTGGATAGCTTCTAGACTGCTAGACTGACACCTAGAATAGATCAATATGTGATTTACAGAAAAGTGAAAAATAGGAGCTGTAAAGAAGTTGGTAGTAAATGTCCAGTTATCTTAGAATTTGAGAAAATAACAAGGTAGGGCTCAGGACCCTTGGCTGTATAGAGATACAGGACTGACTGAGAATTGCATTTCCCTCTTGCTACAGGGAAAATAGATTCTGATGTCAACATGATTCAGTGCTGAATAAACCCTGGACTGCTAAGAATTAGTCTCAGAACAAAATAGAGAAATGAAATGCCAAAATCAAAGTCTGTTCCCAGTACAAGACGATTCTTTCAGCCCAGTGTGTGGGCAGCTTGTGGTGGAGTAATGTTCAGCTCTGTGATGACAGAGATCCTTCTGTGAACTTCATGTAAGTTCATCTCATCCCTGCCCCAACTACTTTCTTATAAGTAGTGATAGGCAAGAAAGATTTATATAGTTCAATGATTTTAAGAGCCAAATCTACCTCAAACCCAGAAAAAAGAAGGATGAAACTTTGGAAAAGGTGGTAAGCTGGTGCCATGGCAGTCTCATAGAGCACAAAAAAGAGGGAGAAGTGGATTCCAGGATGAGACAGGAGAAAGATGCTTTGACTTAGGATGGACTAAGTCGCTACAAGAACTAAATTGTCCTAGGATGTTTAGCTTAAGTCCAACATGAAATCTAATTTTCTGTCAGCAGCTTGAAAGTAGGTAAAGGGATGATTACTAAGGGTAAAGTCTGTAAGCTGAGGGACAGTGGAGCTAAATGACAAGTAGTAACTTACTCTGGCTGGTAGACAAGATTTTGCTGTTCTTCTTTAATATCACAAAACCCAGAAGAAGTGCAGAAGTGATCAGTACAACCACAGCTATAAGTGGGCCAAAGAAATTTATCTTTGCTTGTTCCATTTCTTTCTCTTGTATCTCTGAATAAGAAAACAGAGAAGATACACACAGCAAAGATTTAATTTGGTGACAATTACTTTAAATGCTCTATCTCAAAGTTACATTAAATAGAAGTTTAGGTCATTGCCTCTGGCATCCTTTTTGCTTTACTAGTATCAATAAATCACTATCCACATTATTTTTTTTCCCCTTTCCAATAACTAGTGAAATTACCTGGCCTTACTGGTCACTTCAACAGCAGTAAAGCAAAGCACTCTTCCTGAGGTTTGGGTAGCATGTGAAAGATCAGCAACTTAATTGGTACAACAGCCTATGAGGCAGCTACTGTGCCAGTGCTGCTCCGTGTTACCATGCAAGTTGGAAGATCCTGGAACATGTTACTACATGGTGTCTGTTGGAAATGATGGTCAAAGCCTAATGAATGCTGTAAGGGATGTGAAAGTAGCAGGGACTTCAAAGGACTTTCCCTCTATTTCTGGTTTTTGTGTTTTTGAGGTTTTGGTTGGCAGGGTTAGCAGCTGATAGAGCTTCAGTTATTGCCAAACAAAACTTATGTTTGTGTGGAGTTCCTGGTTTCTTACCCACCATCACTGTTTGTCAGGTATCTATTTTCATAAAGCCAGAGAGGAGAGAAGAATTGAAGAGGGAAGAGGAAGATTCAGCATTATAACTAATATAACAATTTCAAGACTAATGAGCAATATACAGAGCTGAACAAACATTAGAAGGCTTCTGGATTGCATTTTAATAGTATTTAAAAGTCTTAGAATGTAAAGACATCAGAGGCAGTTTGTCATATCTGGTGTTGATAACTCTTTAGCTAAATTTATATTAAGGAAACTGCACCGTGAAACTTTTTCAGAACAAGTGGCAAATTTCTTTTACATCTGCAGTAATAAGGTGCATGTTTATACTACCCTGGTAGTCTTTCCTGCAATGCTACCATTCCCTCTTGGCTCCTTGTTCCTGTTAACGGAAGCACAGCTCTCCATCTTCATCATTGTCTAAAGGAGACATGTGCAAGCCAAATGAACCTATGACCAAAGTGGGAATTGTCTTTATTTTGATGTTCATGTGCCGTAGCTTATAAACAAAAACATGTGAAAAGAACTTTTCCTGGTCCAGAAGATAAATAAAATACTGCTTTAGTTTAAATAAAGGATTAGCCATATGGAACCCTGAGATAATCTGGCAGTAAAGTCATAATGGAACTCAGGTTCCCAGCTTCTTCTTGCAAGAGGTGTCTGAAAAAAGATACAATTTCATAGAAGAAAAATCCCCAAATAGTCATTTTGGAATGTGCACTTAATTCTGCCAAATGTTATGAAAACCACCAGGAATGCTTCTAATAATAGTCCAAGTTTCATGGTCTTTACACTTAAACTCAGCACAGTCTATTTTGCAGTTTGTGAACCAAATATGGTCCATGGAACCCTTTGGTTTAGCCTTCTGCCTCTTTCTAAGGAATGATTAAGAATAGCAGTGCAAGCACTTTAAACCAGCAAAAGATCCTTTTTTTACTATCAAGGTAGTCAAACTCTGGGACAGTTTGCTGAGAGAGATTGTGGAGTCTTTATCCTGGGCGATGTTTAAAATTCAACTGGATAAAGCGCTGTGCTACCTATTCACCCTAATTTGAGCAGAGTGGTTGAACTAGATCATCTCCAGATGCCTCTTCCAACCTCACCAGTCCTCTGATTCTGCGAAGTGACAACCTCCCCCAACAGCTGTCACCTCCAGAGACCAGTTGCTGCCTGATCCAGCTCCTAGGTTGCTTTGATGCTACTGTAGCATCTTCCAGGGAGGGGATCAACAGGGCTGTGTTCTGGATCGTGTAGCAATCCCTTCTCTATGCCCTGTCCTTGCAGTAATAAGATTTCCCACGTGGAAAAAATAGGAAGTTTGGTGGCAAATAGGATGGAGAACATAAAACCCTTTTAACCAACTTCTACTTAGAGTTTATTCCGTACCTTGACCATGCTGCTATCTGTGATCAGCTGTGCTGCAGTACTGCCTGCTCCTACCCCTGCAGAAACTGGAATGGGCAAACGGAGACTCACCTATGCCCAGTGGGACTGAGACAAGGCTTCCCAACTGCTCCCTAAGGTGAAGCAAGCAGCTGATATTAGTGCGGCTTTTTGTAGGAACTGGGATATTCAGCTTGCTGGTAACGTTGTATAGCTTTGTCACTGCATCCTGTGAGACATCCATGTGAGCCGTACTGCTGTGTGTTATGTTCTCATGTGAAATTAGCCAAGTCATCTCCTTGGGCTCTGGATAACCTCCACTGGAAGAACAGGAGAGGTTCAAGTATCCATTGGGCTTTAGTTCCCCGGAGTGCAGTTCTGCTATCTCAGGTTGACTATAGTTGGCTGAAATAGACCAAAGACAGAGCATCATGAGCCAGCCATACCGTGCTTGTGACAGTCCAAAGTTATTTAAGTTTTTTTGCCAGTTAGTTACGATTTTCAGGCAGAAACAAGTCTAAACTAGGCATTCCAAGAAAGGATTTGTATGGCATTTTTTTGGTGTCTATGTAGACTTCCTGCTCTTGTTCTCAGGGGGTTTAAAGGATGCAACTCTGATCAGCCAGACAATGGACCTCTGTCTCTCCTACCTCTTTAAGACACATTAATACCTCAGAATAATGAAACCTGACCTGCTTACAAATAAGGGATTAAGCAGAAAATGGGAAGGGACCACAATGTTCCCTACCTTTGGCCTCCTGATAGGTAAGGGGAAACCCACACACTTCTAACTGGGAAATGTAAAGAAAGAAATACTGAGAGAATTCAGATGGGGTAAGTTCAAAGTGCAGAGCTGTTTAAGTAGAAATATCCCTGTGTCTGTCAGTACTGTAAGTAAACATTTTGCAGCATATAATTCATCATCACTTTGTGGTAGGGTTCCCTTAGCTTAGCTTTTCTGATGGAATTGACTATAGCATAAGGGTTTTTGATTTTGTGTCATTGAGTACTCACAATAAATGAAAAACACACCTGTTTCTTTAAAAAGCCAAGTTTCCCATGCAAGAAATAGTGAAACAGGATTGGGAATAACTATTTAAGCATAAAATATGAATGATGAATAGAAACTTTTAACCAATATACTCTCTTAATTAATATAGATATTCTTAACCAGGATTTATTTGGTTAGAGGTTCATAGTAAAAACAGTAGATTGTAATGGAAAAGGAGAAGGAGGGAATGTTGACATAATACTGGCCACTATATTGGCACATAGCAAGTTAAAAATAAAAACCTAACAAACTCCCAAAAATCAGAAATCAATCCTGAGAAATAGACTAAAGATTTAATTTTAAATGGTTCATTATTTTAGGGCAAATAGGACTAAAGACAATATGGAGAAATACTGGAGAAGAGAAAAGGGTTCTTAGAAAAATGTGAGTCTTGAGAGGGTCTCACTCTTCTGCAAACACACTCAATATGTTGGAACAAGGATCTAATCCTTGCCCTAGAGAATCCTAATGTGGATGAATGAAGAAACATAATGTTGCTTTTATTTTCTCTATCCCTAGTACACAATGCATAGGATTTAGCTTAGCCACTTAAATCCACCAAAGAGAGTTGATGGATATGAATTCAAAAGGGAAAAAGCTCCTCCTTTTCTATACCCCAAAATTTAGTTAAGTTGTCCCTCAGAAAAGCTCAAGATATGACTTGCTTAGCTGACAGCTGTCAGACTTCTGGTCTAGAGTATTTATTCTCTCCTTGGTATTTTACAGGGATGGCAAGAACGTAATCCATGGCTATGAAACTTGCCACAACATCCAAGTGATTTAAGGGCTTCAATCTTATTGACAGTAAGCAAGTGGAAATAGTGGAATATACCTTGCACTTCTCATTTACAGCTTCTGGAACCTCAGTTTACTGAAAAGAGATGCTGGCTGCATTCAGGGTGTGGGCTGCATATATGGGGTTTGTGTTTGTTAACAGAAAAGTACATTTCAGGAAGTCTTTTGTATTTAAAGATAGTGTCTTCCAAATAATTTTGGGATTAGATTAAATGCCTCAAGAGACAGCAGTCCATCAAGCCCTTAATATTTTTCTCAATGGCTTAATCACTTTGCTTTTGTTCTATTTTCTTAAGTGACCATCTGCCTTATTTCCTTCCAGACACTGACTGTCACTGAATTAATTAACTAGCTTATACTTCTTTTTCTTTTAAATACACAGTATTTTACATGTATTTCAGGTTCTCACATTCTGGAAACAAAACTCTTCTGATTATTCTGTGTTATAAGGTTATAAGGTTGTTGTTTTTATGTTTCTAGTTGGACTGTATTTTTCCCAACCTTCAGATAACTCTACTAGAGCTTTTCCCACACTTTTCAGTTTTTCAACATCCCCTTTAAAATGACCAACTGTAAGTCTCTCTTGTGACATCATTTCAGTCTCAACACTTTGAATAGTGCATGTTTTGAAACAGCTTCCCTAGTCTCACCTACTTCCTGTATTGATCTTTCCAGAGGAAGCACTGCAGACATGTCACAATAGCAGATTTTCCAGTTAAGCTGCTTGGTCCCTACCTCGCATTTTTAAGAGCCAAAGTTTTCCACTGTGAAGCCTTCCGTTTTTATCTGGAGAAGGATCTGAGTCCTTATCTGAGTTGTTATATAAGTCATCATGGCTGTATGAAACACCTCTAACATACATATAGAATCCTAGAATCTCTTGAGCTAGAAAGGACCCACAAAGATCAAGTCCAACCCTTGGCCCCACAAAGGACACCCAAAAGTCACAACTATGTGCCTGAGAGCATTGTCCAAACTGTTCTTGAACTCTCTCAGTCTTGGTGCTGTGACCACGCATCCCTGGGTGAAGAACCTTTTCCTGCTATCCAATCTAAACCTCCCCTGACACAGTTGCATGCTGTCTATATATTCTACTAATGCAATATATAAAAGTAACATGTTTAAATTGTATTTGAAGGTAGTGCAGTATTTCTGAATGCTTTGTCACCAAATGATCTAGATAGCTTTGTGTGACTCCCCTGTCATTCTTGTACAGCCCTCAGTTTTTCTTATACCCATTTTAAGTGTGACATGCCAAACTACAAAAATCTCTCCATGCATGATATGAGATTCTAATTAAAAAGCAGCATGTAAGCACAGGTACATTTCAATATTTGCATTTTTCATCTAATTATTTTGAAGAGCTTGAGTTTTTTTAAAATATGGTTTTATACTGCGCCTTCCTTTGGGCATCTATTGAACAGAAAGTAATTTGGAAGGAAGACAACAGCACATTGTTAAAACTGTCTTCCTAAACTAAACCTTAAAAGGTGTAGTAGACTTTCAGTCCTAAGTATGAGATATCGATAACAATGTTGCTCAGATTTTGGCTAAGCTGATAACTGATTCAACTGTTTGAACTGACTGAGCACTTGATGCTACACATCTTAAACTGAGGACCTTGATACTGAGTGCACATTGTGAGTTTCTGAGTTCCGAAAAGTCACTGAAAATGCTTCTCTAGTAGAACCTGGGAGAATCAAAATTAACAATCTACATTTTTTGTCTGTGGATCAAGGGAACACTTGGTAGTAGCACAAGGCTAAATAAGGTCAATTGTCCTGGTAACCTGTTTTTGGCTGCTGTTACACTTGTCCTGTTCTCTTTTAAAGCAGTATGCTGAAGACTGAAAACACCAGAGCAAGTTAGAAGCTGTTTTATTAATGACTAGCACTACCACAGTGGAAGACAGAACACAGGCATACAGATAAAGGCTACTAACAGAATAGTTTAAAATAGAGAAACTTTAGAATTATATATTAGGAATTTAAAAAATATTAGAAAATGTGAAGAAAACATTGGTGCCACATTTTCATTTCCCTGTTAAAAGATTTACTGTCATCTTCTCTGATTACAAAAAATTCTCTGATGCAAAAAAAATCAGGTGGAATCTCACCAATGTATGTATATAATTTCCTTCAGGGGTATTTTCTGTCATCCTTTAGCTGAACATATGAATTTCTACTCCTCCATGTGGACTGTTTTTTCTTTATTTTCCCTATGATTTATACGATCATAAAATAGCCGTGTGTTTGCAGAGATCTTGCTATGTTTCAATTCTAATTTGCCACCGGTGTTGGTAAGGTTAGATAACTACTGCTACTTTTAATAGGAGGTAGTTTGTCAGATGCAAATAAACAAGTTTATTTTCCAGAATCCTAAAAGCCATAAAATTTGCAAGTCTCTTATCAATCTTTAGAAATTCTGGCTCCAGAACAGGCACAATTTCAGGGGCTTGGAGACAGGACCCATATTTCTGGACTGAACAAAATCACAGAGAATCCCACAGACCAGCTGGCAATTGGAAGTGATTACTTACCAACGATGCGCAGTGAGCACTCAGATTGGTGTACGACCTCCTTTGATTGTTCAACTATTTTTTGTATAATACACTGATAGAGTCCCTCGTCCTCAATTTCTGCATTTAACAACTGCAAGGTCCATTTGCCCATGTCCACCTTGGTGCGATTTATATATTCAGGACTAAGGTTGTCATGTTTTTCTTGGCCATGATATACTTCATGCAGCACTTTTTTACTCTCTTTTTGCCAAAAAATTATTAAATCCTTCACGTCAAATTTCTGAGAGTTTGGAAAATAGCAGGATAGGTATACAGTGTGATGGAGAAATGCCTGCACTGGATGCACACTGGCAGCAGCAATACCTTAGACAGAAAGAGAGAAAAATGAAGATTTACATTTGCTACAAAAGAATACCAAGCTGCACTCAGAGATCCGACACTTAACAACAGTGGAAATAAAAATACTAGCATTTAGACACTAATTCTCCCACTAGGCATGACAGGACATGTAGTTGTTCAAACTGACTCGTTTAGTCTGGAGGAATTCAGGTCATAAAACTGTTTCTTATTTTTCTTCCTATATTTTACTTTCCAAAGAAGGTCTCCCACACAGAGATCATGAGCATCTATATTTTAGAAGACTTATCTGCAGGCCAAAGATCAAAAAAAGTCTTGCTTGAAGCATCCTGAGTGTAATGAGATTCTGCCACAAAGAAGATAGTTGCACAATTTCTGTTTAAAAAGTTGAGTTAAATCTCCTAATAAAATAACAATGCATTAAATTTTTGAAGAAACTGTGAAGTACACACTGTGTGGTAAATATGAATGTCATGGGGAATGCATGACCATAAGGTCAGAAACAGGTGAACACTTTCAGTCTCAATGAAGAATTAATCTAAAGTTTAATGACAAATTAAATGTCAGATTTAACTGTTCTCTAATTAATATAGAATTTAATGACAGAGTAAATGTCAGATTTAACTGTTCTGTTGCTGATCTTGTTAACAGGAATGGTCAATAAACACAATTATGCCTTCATGCAAAAAAAGGATGAACTGCACTACACAAGGGATGATTTTTCTACTGCTTTACCCTGTGTCTGTGTGTCCATTATTATGAGTGGTGGCCAGGGGGGACTGTGTTTTCTTGGAAGAAGAAATGCAGCCCTCTGTCCCAGAAGATACAAACATCTCTGCTGTGTTCAAAAGGAGGATAAGATTTACAGTCTCTCTCCTGGTGCAAAGTTTTGACTGTTCTTCCAGAGCACCAGACTGCAAAATGATCTCTGTGGCTGTCTCAAACTCCAGTTGACCCATATCAAACTGCCAGTTTTCAGTTTAGTACTGCTCTTCTCTATAATCCACACAGGTGATACACACACATTTTAAAGACAGATTTAAATTGAGAATTTAAGAGCAACATAAAATAAGTGTAATGTAAAGATATAAAGTTGAAGAGAGAAAGTACTTACTATATATGTTTTATAGAGTCCCTGAACACTATTTAAATACATGTCACATAGGCTACATGACCTTGACTGTACAATGGAAGTGATTAATACTACTAAGGAATGAGCTTTTTAGTGGAGGAGAAAGTATCACATAGCAGGACACAAACAATCAAAACACTTTTAACAATTAAAAATGTGCCTTTTACCTGGGAGAAATATCATAGCACAAAGGAAGAATATGCAGACCTCCATGACACTGTAAGAAGAAGGAAAGAGAGAAAGAAATATGTTAGAAGTTGAAAACACACCAGTACTCCCAAAGAAGTGGTAAAACAAGACGTTTTAGCAAGAGAGAGCATTGAGAAAGTTAATCTCACCTTTTTCTATAGATTGGTGCACGGGATTCTATGTGTTTCCCAGCCTTTAGCAACCACAATTAGCATGCTATGGCAGATCTCTGGTTTACAGAGAAGGTGATGTGGTGCAAGATTACTGCAGACTGTGCATGCCATGGGAGGAACACAGAGTCCCTGAGGTCCAAAGGGCAGGACAAATACCCAAAATGCCTGGAATGGAGGAAAGAGGAATGGGGAACATGCTTGGCCTGACAGTGTGGGGAAGAAGATGGGGAATTGAAAGTAGAGGCGGAGGAGAGTGTGATGAAAAAGGAAGAGGTGGGGGAAATGTCTTGGTGATGTCAGCTACCAGAAGTGATGGAGTGTGTGATCTTCATTTTTGTGACAGGAACCTCTCCTTAACAGCAGCACAGGATAACATAGAGGAATCCTATGATATATGATACAAAGAGCTGATGCTAAACAGCACACAGTTCATTGTAAAGAAAACATTAGTTTCTCTTCAGAAAACAAGAAAAAACCCCTATGTCTTGTCTCCTAAGCAAAACACCTCTCTGGCTGCTTGGGTTCCTGTGGAGTAAGGGCCCATAGTCCTGGTAAACAGCCAAATCTCATTCCCATGCAGTCTGAGACCAGTACCTGCATCCAGTCTGTGTTTGCTATTTTGCATTTTAGCAGCACCTTTGTGATTTTTGTGTGGCTTTTCCATATATTTGGGAGAAGCCTCCATACCACCCTTGCCAAAGTCCTTCGCTCTCCTCCTTCAAAGAGCTCCAAAGAAACCACTTTTGCAGGAGCAGATGTAAAACTCCAGCTCTCATACTACCTAAAACCTGTGAGATTTCTGTCTGCTATCCTCACTAGTAATATACTTTCCTGATGGATGGTTTCTCATTTTTTGTTATGGTTTTTTTTTTTTTAGGCTGGTACACTTGGGTCTTTACTCCAGGTTTCTGGTCTCTTCTTCTCTTTAATACAGAATTCCAATCAGTCCACTGACATGTGTTTTGTGAGTGTACTGTAATGTAAAGGACTGACAATGGTATTTTTTCCAAATTCATCCTACCTTTTCTTAGGAACGGGGAGAAAGAAGTCCACATGGCTTGGAGAATATAGATAACTTTATTTTGATCCACCTGTCATAGCAGAAGAGGCAGGAGGGGAGGGAGGGCTCATGCAGAATCCATTGTCATAGACAGAGGTCATTCTTCTTCTGCTTCAGCCACCCCAACTGCATGGTAAACTTTTATCCAGGGGTTTTCCCCTCCCAGGCTGGGTCCCACTGAACTGAACCAGACAACTGACTGCCTAAGTTAAAATGCCTCTGTCAAGACATTGAAAATGACAGAAACCACTTTGTAGCAGTCATATTTCCATCCTATAAATAAGAATTTTGGCTTTCAGTCAAGTGAAAAATAAAGGATAGTTCTATTTTTTTGGATTTAGTACAGGTGTGTAAGAGGAGAAATTAAAGCAATTCAGCAACTACTGACATAAGTTGAGAGAGTATTCTGCATGTTTTGCAATGACTGTCTCACAGAAGCAAAGAGCAAAACAAGAACTGAAAATGAGAGTGAGAGAGAAAAAACCCAGGCAAAAATACCAATTAGCACTGCATGCCTTTCTTTATGGTTTAGATTTGGAGTTGTGAGCACAGAAGTCCTCAAAGTTCCTACATGTTTTCCTGCCTGCCATCTTCCAGGAGAAGTAACGTTGCTGGGGTGCTGGCATGAAGAAGGACCTCATGAGTCTGCAGAGGGATGTACACTGACCTTCCCTGCAGAGGGGAATTGATGCTCTCATGGGAACTGCTTTATAGAGAATTGCTGAATCATTAATTGGGCCACTACAGCTTCAGTGCTGCAAGGAGCTTTTCTTCCCCTTTTTTATAAAATGCCTTTAACCAACAAATGCAAATCCTTGGAGCCATTGTCCAGAAGACTGAAGGGAGGAAGGGGAATTACACAGTATCACTGTGGGCTACTTACACCTTTCCTTTGGCATATTCAATACAAATTCTGTGCTCAATTCTCTCTTTTATGTGCAGGCTATTGAAAGTCTTGTTGTGTCTCAGAACTGACCAGCAGTCAAAGGGGGGCAGGTAAGAGATGAAAGGTAGACATTGTGGGTCTGTTTGTGGATGTGCAGTTTTGCTGTTCACAGGCTGAGTGCATCCATCTGTGGAAGTTTTTCATGGTGCCAGTGATAACTGATGAGATGGGAGTGGCTTGAAGACTGAGGGCTGTAAAATTACTTCTGACATCTTGACTAATGTGAGGTCAGTCCATGGGGAGGTAAATATTTTCCTTTGCTAAATAAAGCTAGCCTACATGGTGTGTCTTACTTTCCTTTTGGAACTTTTTCAGCCATTCCTGGAGGTGTCTCCATGATTCACAATTACAAATCATGTGTCAGAGATGAAAATGGAGAAGCATATTAATTGAAATTATGTCAGTATGCAGTCAAGAGTAACACTCAACCTTTTATTTACTACTTCTGCAGTGCAATCACTGAAAGGAGAAGAAACCGTATGAGCACATGCATGCACTTTACAAGCCTGATTCATGAGGGCTTTGGTTTGGTCCAAACCAGTCTGAGAAAACTCATGAGGCAGTTCCCACCTGGCTCAGTACAGGGGGATTCCTGTCATGAACCATAAAATCATAGAATGTTAAGAGTTGGAAGAAACCTTAGAGATCACCTAGTCCCAATTCCCCCTGCCATGGGAAGGTTCATATCCCACTGGACTAGGCTGTTCCAAGCCCATCCAACCTGGTTTTGAACATGGTCAAGGGTTGAGACATTCACAACTTCTCTGGGCAACTACTTCCAGTGCCTCACCACCCTCACAGTAAAGAATTTCTTCCTAATATCCAGCCTAAATGTCCCCTCTTGCAATTTGCACCCATTCCTCCCTTTCCTATCACTACAGTTCCTGATGAAGAATCCTTCTCCCTTCCCCGCAGCTCCCTTCATATACTGGAAGGGTGCTAAGGGAGTGACTCCTGTCCTCTTACCAACCTTGTGGCCTTCCTCCAGACTTGCTCCAAGAGTTCCATGTCCTTCCTGTGTGGGGGCACCAGAACTCTATGCATCACCCCAGGTGGGGTTTCATGAAAGGGGATGAGAGTAGAGGGGGAGAATTGCCTCCCTCAGTCTGCTGGCCATGCCGCTTTAGATACAGCCCAGGGTATGGTTGGATTTCTGGGCTATGAGTGCACACTTCCTGCTTATGTTGAGTTATTCATCAACCATCACACCCAAATCCTTCTCCACAGGGCTGCTCTCAATCACTTCACCAACCTGCTGGTGTCTCTGGGATTGCCACAACACAGGTGTAGGCCCTTGCACTTTGCTTTGTTGAACGCCGCGATGTTTGCATTGATCTGCCTCTCAAGCATGTCAAGGTCCCTCTGGATGGCAAAAACTAACACCAGTGTTTGGGAAAAAGAGGAAACTTCATTTCTTTACTTTTGAGGCAATTGCCAGAAAGCCCAGTGTGACTTATTGAGATTGGCTGTCTCCTGTTCCTCCCAGCCCAGTGTGTGAAACCAGCATGTAAAACCCAATAGACACAGTGAAGCATGAAGGTTTTGGAGTAAACAAGAGCTTTGTATCAGGTACGCTGTGGGAACCCAGGATATCCCTCTGGCTGCCCTGGCTGTCTTGAAACCCCGGCAGAGAGCTCGGAGACCTTGGCATGAAGTCAAAAACACTTGTGGCTTCAATTTTGGCCCGTGGAAAAAACTGCCAACTTTGTATGAAGAATTACAAGCCACACGGGTTTGAGTAGTGTAGTAGTTGAATTAACACAGGGTGAAAAAGTAGAATTTTAGGGTTTTCAAATAAGGGGTTCAAGGGGACAAGATGGAGGGATTTGGGTGTGTCCTGACCTTCTTCTCCTTCTTCTTGTCCTCCATCTTTCACTGTGATGGTGACACTTTTTATTGGTTTAGAATAGAGACCACTGTCTAACATAGGTGATAGGTATTGGGAATTAATCGCAAATAAAGTACACATAGTTCATAGTATAAAATGTAAACACTGCCCTAAGAGAGCAGGCAGAATGTGATGATCTGACTTGCTAGACAGAGCTTAGCAGGTCAGAGAAAGAATGTTCTAGATAAGAGAAAATAAACACCCTTGAGAAGCAAAACCGACGCATGTGGACTTCTTCTTTGGCTGTGGGACTGGGAGAAAAAGACTTTTTACGATCTCAGAGTCATCTTGACCACAGAACCCCGAGAGTACACTTGCCTGCATTTTCATTTGCTCTCCTTTTTGCTGTTTGCAGGTTTGGATGTAGTCGTTATCTTTTGAAAGACACTGTCACATCTGTGATCTTTGACTCCTAAGTTCCATCATTACCCTTAAGTCCCTTCCAAAATGTTCCTTTCTTGCATATTCCCACAGGTAGTTAGCTTGTTTTCTTACAACAGGTACACATATTCTATGGGAAGACTCTCCTGCCCCATGTTGAACTCAAAACAAAACTAAACACTGAACTAGTAAATTGCTCTTTTTATTTTTCTAGCATGGGGAATTTTTCTAAAAATTTCCACCCTATGCAAGCAACACTGAGCAGCTCCATGAGCAGTGCTGTGAGCCTCCTGGAGGCAGGACATCTGTGACAAAGACTTCCCACTGCTGACTTGGAAACTATTCCAGGGGCTTATAAATTAAATTATCCTAAAAATGCATTTACCAGCCTTCCCCATGTTGTAAATACAGGTTGATTTCTACAAGTCTTATCAAAGGAAATTACACTTTAAGAAAATTGCCTTAACATGGCAAGTTCAGAGGATTCTATGATGCCCACCACCCACATACTAAGCCATATGACCATATAACTATCCAACAAGGGGCATGTTTTAAAAACATACATTACTCAGGCAACTTGTGTTTCCAATGTGCTTTCCCAGTCAGAAAAGTGTCACTGTTTTAATCAATTGCAAAACTTTTTCTACTGCTCATTCTTTTATAACTATCTTTCATTCAAAATTACATTTAAAAATTATGGGCTTGTTGTTTAATTATTTTTTATTACATTAAGAAAATCCAACATTCTGTCTTCCTAATGTTTGATTTCTGAATGTGTTTTGTATCTCTTCCCATTCAGCAATATCCTTTACTCTACCTAATATCTTCAGGAGAACCATGACTTTCACTATGATTCTGGGATCACTCTGCTCTAACACCTAGAAACTCCTCTTTTAACAACAATAAAAAACACCAACTATATAAATAATACCTTTGGTCCAGAGATCATGGAGCATTCCAGTGCCTCTGCAAGCAGAATCC